CCTTTGTTAAAAGAAAAACTAGACCGGCCAACCCCATTTTTTTTTCTTTCATCCAATAAAAGATCTCAAGCAACTATCTTCCTATCATGTGGGTCCTTCCGAACATCCGCGAAAAAAAATAGCATGATCCACACTTACAGTTTCCGAAAAGTGTGTCAAACTGTAATTAGGACCCGACCTAGATGCATCTAGCTAAGTCAAAAAGTTCGACCACGAGTACTCCCTACATCGAGAAATGGTCGTCCCAAGAGCGGCGAAGTCCCACTCACAAAAAAAAAAGAAGGAAAATTTTATATGTATTCCCAGCGCCAGACTTGCATCCATACCCGGATACCGTTCAACTTTGCATAGTACCTGAGTTTTCCTCTGTGCGAAATTGTAGGCATACCCAGTCCCACAAACCCTGAGTTCCAGGCAAAGAAATTATGCCCATTCCCAAAAACGGCTTGGCAAAATTGCAGGTGTACCCACAACCAGGGGCAGGACTTAGATAATAACCACAAAATTATGCTCATGCCCACCACCTGGATCCTTGTGGCCCAACGGTTGCTGGGTATGAGCATAATTTTAAGCATTCGGTAGTAGGGTATATGAATAGTCTGGCCGGTTCACCTCAATCCCGAGTATGCTTATAATTTTGCGCGCGTATGCCCATAATTTATGCATTTTCCCAAGGGAAAATTTGTCTGGCGCCCCTGTATTTTCCATTAATTTGCGTCTCACCCCTCCGTCAACCGATTTACCTTGTCGCACCCCAGGGCCTAAAAATCTTTTCGGCAAGCCCCTGTCGGTAGTAGACGCATATTTCTAGGATGCCCTTTCTCAATTGGCGGTCCCAGTCCATTGAGCTTCGTGCCATATGCCCTCGTAAGGGGCACCCATCTTCCTGCGTTGCCCCTGCAGCAGTGAGGCGCTTGGAATTTGAATTCAATTTCGAACCCCGTTGTTGTTGACGCGACGCCGCTATTTTTCTTGACGAGTGTGTGTGCGTGTGCGTGTGTGTGTGCGTGTGCGTTTGCATGTGCGTGTGTGTGTGTGTGTGTGTGTGTGTGTGTGTGTGTGTGTGTG